TTTTTACCATGATTTTTACCATGATTTTTACAAAAAAAAAAACAGATAATTATCGATTGGAAAATGATTCACCCCTGAGACATTCGACCCCCTGTAATCCAAAGAATATATTTTTAATACGAAACATTCGTCTTTCAATATTGGTGTGAGGTGGCAGGAGTCAGGTGGAGGAAAAGTTCTGCCGCTCCCTTTCTGCTAATCAATGAGCGGCAGTTCTCTTCAATTTTTCTGCTATTACAGGTTTCCCTTGAGTTATCGGAATACTTGCTGATGCTGTTCAATTTTCGACCCTGAGATTGGCCTAATATAAGGGGCTTTTAACGGGCAAGGCATTACCCACGGAATTTATCGCTTTTACATACAGGAATTTCGGATAAATTGCCGACGCTTGCTATTGCGATTAGATGATAAGAATTGAAATGAAATGGAGAGAAAAGATGGGTAATCAGTGCATATAAGTCCTCCAAGAATTTTCTTTGCCATCTCTCTCTAGAGAGCCTCCAACCCTTGAAATTGATGGTGTGTATTAAAATAAAAACCACAACATATCACGAGGTGATCGGTTTTCCAAGTAGACAACCTGGATAATCGATAATGGAGAATCGTCTTTAATTTCTCATTATTTCAAGGAAGACTTGCTGATGCTGTATACTTCCACTGCCAGAGTCAACCTAATATACGAGAGGCTTTTAACAGCCGCGGACTACCCCGTTGATATTATCTCTATACATTCAGAGATGTTTCAAAAGTTTGTTAGTGTATCCAGAGCAATGAATGCATTCAGCATTACCCATTTCTCCTTCATTTCTGTTGGGTTTCCATTCAAATGTGAGGATTCAGCGAGTCAATGTGCGAGATAGACCAGCGAATCCCACATTAATTAGTTCGAGACGGTCGAACAGTTGAAGACTGTTTGAACTACCCTTGATGGTGAGGGTTAAACTGAGATAGCTGTGGGTAAAGACTTGAATTGAGAGCTAGACGAGAGCTAGGATGTGGTTAGAGGCAAACGATAAGTCGCACTATTGTTGTTTCAACTACCCTCATTCTCCCACTTTTAACCCCTTCTATCCATTGTATGGCCGCTCTCTTACCTTCTTCTTGTATATCTTCTTGCATCTCGGCGTGCACAGATGCGGAAAACGGTATACATTCCCCTCCTGTTTCACCAAAACTCCCCAAGTCGTGAATTATCTACATATATATTTTGCAGTGTTCGTTTCGATAGCGGGTACTCTTGAAGGGTAATACGCCAGCTATCGAGGGCAAACACCATTCTTTTGGAGTAAAATGAGGAAGCATTTTTTGAAAAAGTGGGCGTTAGATAGAATCGATGCAGAGAATTCGAAGGCAGAGGCTGCAAGTGGAATTTAATCTCGTCGATTTATCGGTATTGAGAGCTCCCAGGGACTGATGGTGCATTGCAGATGCATTTCTTGTGTATCGATAATCGTTTCGGTATTCGTTATAAAACCGCTCCGAGTTGGGGATAGTTTAAAAAGTTTCAAGTGATGTCAAACTTTCGAATTAATGTCGTAATCCCAACAATTAACGTTGCACGGAAGTTGAATACACCTCGTTCTAGTACGTCTGATCAAGCAGGAATTTGATGTGCGGTGCGAATTAAAAATGTACGTTTGGAAATATCGCAATGAAAGGAACATACATCGGATTTCCTTGAAGAGGTTCCGAATAATTTATGAGAAGCTTTGATGGTCAGTGAATGTTTAATTATAATCTTCCATAAGATTGAACAAGATTGACAAGAGTTATGAATCGTTAAACCAATCTTAATGAGCTATTCCAATCGAGCGATTACTCCCATCTGCTGTGATAAACTATCCATAAAATTTTCATGTGATGAACATTGGCCATAACTGTTACTCATGACTAAATGTTCTGTCAGTGTAATTTATGCGTCATGTTCGTACATCGGGTTTTACCGAAAAATGGTGAGTGGGGAATAGAATGTAGCTTCCCTATTGTCCGAGAAATGAAATTACTCGATTGGAATAAATAACTCTCCCTCATCTTCCTCTCGCTATGTACGCATAACATAAACTCCTAGTACTTCAACCATCTGCATTGCAGTTGAATAAAACAATATTAAGTGGGGTCGGTTGGTACGAATGAAACGACACACCGGAAGTCGCTCGTTTATTCGCCTCCCTTTTATTTTTCAAGCGTAAGTTTACCTCTTGTGAATGGAATCCCCTTGGGTTTCTGAGCCAAGTGGTCGAATATTTGAGGATGCCTGAGTGAGCATGGCAATTGACTGATATTGGAAGGGAAACGATCTTACGGTTTGGCAAATCTTGGTGCCACATTTGGAGGAACTCAAACGGAATGGACAATGCCAGAGAATTCTGGTGGGTATCAAGCCACGGGATTCACCATCGCCAAATATTGAATTCCCTCAACCAGTAGTTTGGATTTGAGTCTTGTAACATAAAAGAGAGAGAGAGAGAGAGAGAGAAGTTTTAGGATATCATAATTGACATATTCACAATATTGTATAATAATTATTATTATATTATTATTCTATTCTGTTTTGTTGTTTCGGAATGGTCTGGAATGTTAGGAAATGTGAGAGAACGATGTTTTGAGGTCATGTCTATATATATCTGATCGATAACTTGGGGTTTCGGCGAGCAATCTTGAGAAAATTTTCAAAAAATTGGAAAGTTTTCTTTATTGTAGGTATGGTTAATAAGCTTTATTATTACGCAGTCTCAGTCTGATCGGTCCTGTAGCTTCTCAGATATAAGAACTATGTATTGAGCTTGAAGAAGATGAAGGGTTGACAATGTGGATGGACGTTTAGACTCAACATTTCTCTGAGTGACTGATTAGAAATGGCTGTTCGGACATGGAATTTTGAGGAAGTGCAGTGACGTGATAACGAATATTATCGAATCCAACGTATTAGTGACAGCTGGATGTTCTTGTATGTTCTGAGAGAATGATCTACATCGTTCTATCAACTTTCTCCAGAATTTCCGCACTTATTCTCTCATTTTCTCTCGCCCAGTCGCATCAACAATTCAGAAAGGGCGCGAGCTTTTATGAGCTTCCGGCCATTTCGTCACTACTACACACTCGACATTTTTTCCCCCTCTTCTTACTCGGTTTAATTATTTAAACCATCTTGTGAGGATGTTGAGGGGTCCTGGGTTTTATCGTTTTGAGAATTTAATTGCGAGTGAAGTTCCGCTATTTCTGAGTGGAAAATTCCACGGTACCCTTATGGCTTTGTAACTCGACGTGGCTTTGAGCAAGTTGTAAAGAATTTTTGTAGGCATTCTGGGTACTGTCTCTTCGTCTTGAAAATTATGCTACGATCCTCTCTTTATTCTAATGGATTCGCGTATATGGCCCGTAAAGATTATATCTACATTAGGTACTCTTCAGATTACGTTTACAATGTCTTGTGTCGGTGGAAAGGAATTTTAGGTGAAAGTAAGTCATACCGTAAAATTTATTTTATAATCAGTTTTTCTACTATTAATCTGACGAATGTTTGAGCGCTAATGCTTTCCCGATAAGCCATTTATTTTTTCGCATTTCGAGAAGTATCTGAATAGAATGGGTTGTTAAGCACTTAATGGAGTTGAAAATTGCCAGTATCATCCAATATAATGCGATCTCCTTATATTCCTCTATAGTTTTTATCATAATTGTAAAAATTGATAAGACTGAATGAATTCGATTTTTCCCCCGCCAGCATGTTAGTAATATTACTTGCCTTCAGTGTATTTTTTCATGCCAACTCGTACATAAAAATGTTCACGCAAATGATACGATTAAAGACAATTCAAAGGAACTCTTACGCCATTTTTTCAGAGTGTTCTGTAATTGTTATTGAATATTTTTCCTTGTGTACGTTTCTGATAGCGATTTCAGAATAAGATTTCTTAAGCTATTTGCGTTTATATTTTTCTGCGTGTTGGCAGTATGAAAATAGATATGGTATATAAACAAAATGAAATAGTAACACGGAAAAGTCGAAGGGGAGTTAAGAGGTGCATGGAAGGGGGTTGTTATCGATGTTTACGCTGCATTCCTAAACCCTTTGCACCCGAGCATTAACCCGATCTCTCTCAGTGAAGCCCCACATTGGGGCCAAAGCCCCATAAGCGTCGTTACGCTCGCCTTGCATATATAGGCAGCCTCTGCTCTTCTGATTTCCATTTAGAGAATAGTTTATTGCAGACTGTACAATGCCCCCATTACAATAGGATTACTCACATGATATTCACAGAGTTGTTACTGATTATAGGCGCCATGCAACTTGCACCGTCTTTCTGCATCCATAAAATTCGATTAATATCACTATATAGTTCACCATTATTCATATCACTTTCTTAAGATATTCGATACCCTACATAGATATGCATATATAACTTTTTTTTTAAACAAACTATTTGACGCCTTAATTAATGGTTTAGGAACTACAATATTGTACTGTATTTTTGAAATTTTTTATTAATTTAAAATTTTTCCTTTTTCTCACGGTGATAAATGATGAAAAAATGTTGAGATCGATATTGGATGTTGTTTAGGACTACGAGATCTGGTCTTCTGCTTCGCACCACCAAAAAGCTTTGCAAAAGTCACTCTCGGCAAAGCGTCTGACGCTTAAGTCTGCGACCACTTTCAACCCCTGGGTTGCACCAACCGGATTAAAGTATCGCCACTGGCCTCTGAATTATTCAAGCCCCTGTACCGCAAGCATCACCCCCATAACCCGCACTACAACTTTTCTTTTCAACACTGGTATATAAACCTACGTACTCCCTGTCGTATTTTCACCAAACCCAAAACTTTTACACCGGTTACCCACGCTATTTTTTAATGGGGTTTTCACCGCTGATCGATTGAGTTTTATTTCATCCGAGATTTTTTTTTCCCGAGAACTTCAACTTTAAATCGAGTTAAATATCCATGAATGAAAAATCATTGACTAGATTTTATTAACGATAAAAATTTTCTGCTTTCAGGCTCGGCATTGATGAGAATTGTGGAGGTCTACAAGGAGATCCAAGAACAGGAAATGAACATCGTAAGTCAGCCGTGAAAAAAAAAAGAAAAATTGAGAATTAAAGCCCCTCCAGTTAGTCCCTCATCCAACACGCAGAAACCGAGGAAATGGAATTTACTGAAGAAAGTTCAAGCAAAGGGGACAACCCCATTCCTGGTGAAAATTAACAATATTTCGAGACGCTTTTACCACCGCAATGAGAACGTTCTTGTGTGTAGTCACCGAGCATTCAAATTATTTATATAAAACTTTTAATTACGAAGCAATTAAAACCTCTTATCAATACAGTGAGGAAAGCAATAAATGTCTCTCAGTCTGAAAATCAATGGGCCTGACATTGACTGACACAGACTGACACATTCCACTGGAAAATTAATTGGAAAGTTTCAAAAACTTGATGTGTTGCCTTTGAATTCTTTGCAATGGTTTTAACGCCGTTTCCAAGCTTAGAATTAACAATTCGACTTCAGCTGTACAAAATATTGAATTTTAACCATTTATTTATTTATATGAAATTTTTTAACGTGTTGTTGATGGGCTGGAGCATCTGATGAATTTTCATCTTCTCTAAGGACAATCGACATACCAGGTTACCTTCAAGTGTCTAGTACCTTTACTTCCTATTTGTTTTTTTTTATAGAGGCTACATCCTCAGTATTAAAGGAGACAATTACTTCTCTTTTCTTATAAACTCCTCGCCTTTTTATACCACTTGGGCTCTTGTGGTATTATTTGCAAGATATAAACGACTTTATTGCTCAAATCTAAGGGCCCATTACAAAGCCAATAGTTCACCAGAGCTTTGCACCCACGTATCCACTCCCTCATTTAACCCTGGGACGACAGATTTTTTTTCTTCACTCAATTTTTTCATTTTCCCTTGCACTCTTACTCCGAACAATAGACGGAAAAATGTGGTTCTTTCGGTGTACTTAAGAGAACGGAATGGGACGATAAATATTCCTGGATAAGGAGCTGCCACTGCAGAAAATAAAAAAAGAACAAGGGAAAAATAAGAGGAAGAAAAAGTACACATTGAAATAGAGGAAGAAGCGAGGAAAGAGAGACTGGCGTGTGTTGAGCATCGAGCTTTCCTATCGTTATGTCTTTTTACTGTATTTTACTTGAATTTTTTTATTTTGTGGTACTACAAGTAAATTCTTTCCACCTTTCTCGCTGTATATCAGCGCGTTTCACCCTTCGAGCTCTTTGTCTATTTCCTGAGATTACAGGCACTTAGTGCCATGTTCCACATACTTTTTGTTCAAGCCTCTTCGATGGAGCCCTATCCTGCATTGACCTGATTGTTTCATCGATTTCTTTTCTTTTCTGAACTCAATGCATAGAAATGGTGAAGAACAGGCGTTGAAATGGAAAGAGGAGTTGGCTCGTTGACTCTAAAAACACACCAGTTAGAATATGAGTCGGGAATAAGGCGACTCGAGAAAAGACAGATAATGGTGGACAAAGATTTTTCTTTAGACAGAATTGGATAGTAGATACACTTCGTGGAGGAGTACCACTCCATGCCAGGCTTCGCTGACTGGAGCACTTCTGGACACTGAATTGATTTCGATGCCAGGCAATTTAACTGCCACCGAGCAAATAGTCTCGGCAAGGCTCACCATTATTGCAGCGTCATTACACCGAATATTCTATTTGGAAACAAATATTGGGTATTTGATAATAAGAGAGCTTATCTAGAATCATCAGAACAGCCAAGTGATAGGTCAAGCTGCTGATTGCATTAGCAAAATTTTTCTCTATTCACTGCGATATGCTTCACACGTGAGTAATTGCAAACTTAATCGGAGAGCCTCGGGGGGCTGAGTTGGACGTTAGAAGTACAAGGTGTATATAGAACAAGTTGGAACTCTCGGTTAATCCGATTAAGTGGCTGGCTGTTTCGACGTGGCAAGGTTTCAAAGTTTAATTCAGGAAGGCTAAGAAAGTGCTCGGGGAAGGACTCAGTAAAATTTTACCCTGTATGGGTAGACAACCAAAATGGAAAATCCAAGTCTCAACATCAAATGGCCAGGGGGGTAGTCCAGAGTAGATGGAGTGGTTTTGGTTGGTCGGGGGCACGTAGAAAAACAGGGATTCGAAAGAAAAAATAGAGAAGGGCGAAAGGGTGAGACTGGTTTTTTATTTTCAAATCCCAACCTCTCGGAGCTTTTGAGTGCAACGGTAACCACAGCATATCCTCGTGTGTGTAGTTTCGTAGGAGGATGGGGAGTTTTCGAGAAGGAAAGGGGAAGAGAAAAGGGGACGAGGAAGCGCGTTTTCCAGCCAGTTTAAATTTGCTCAGAGAGAAATGTTTGCACGTCCATTTCACTCATTCTCCCCCTCATGACTTTCATCGCCCTCCGACTGGTTCATCCGTTTGTGAATGTACTTGGCGCCGGCGAGAGGTCTGTGACTTCATGAGACCTTCAGTATTTTATTTCCTCGCGTAATCTCCATCAATATCGGAAGCTAGAGTAGTTAAATCGACGTCAATAAACCGGAAATAATTGGCCAATGTTGAAGAACAGACGAGAGTCTTAAAAGTTTGATACTCCGGGGGAATTGTCCCGTTTCTTCTGATCTCGGGCCCTTTTCTCCAAGTGGAAAAAGTCAATTCACATCCTTTAGACCATAAATTCACGAATGGATTTTTTGCTTCCCCCTGATTTTCAACACGTACTTTTTTCAACGTTTCGAAACAGTCGAGTCTACTGGGGTGAATGTGGAGAATAAAACGCGATGTGGCCTTTATTGAGTGGGCTGACAAGGGGAACTGTAAGCCCAACGAGGCTTGCTGTGAATCCACGTACTCAACGAATACTCTTGTTTCAGGTTCTCGCAATTTATACTCCAGTGAATTTTTTTTTTCAGTCACTATTCTTTTTATCACTTTTTTTAAAGTTATTGTGAAATGAGGAGCTTGCCTACTCTCTAATCAATGTTTATTAAAGCCAGGAAAAAAAGCGAATAAAAAACTGGTATCCATCATAGCGAGGAAACCCGGCAGGTAGTTGGAATTAGAGTTGGGGCAAAAGCCAATAGGATTTCGGGAATTCGTTTGGTTATTGCCTCGAGGGCAACCCCACTATGCCCCTCTTTTTGCGCCATTTTTTTTTTCGTTGGTGATATAAAAATATCTTTTACCGATGTCGAATTTCGATACAAGTTTCTTTTTTTTTTTGCGTTATTTTACCAGTTGTTTTATTCGAATTTCCCGGTGCATCCAATAGTCGAGTCTTCTATGGTATAGGACCTACACTGTGATATGAGCTTCCACATTTTTTTAATACTTCCATTGAAATAGCTTTCAAACGTTTTAGAGTTTCTCTATTTCCGTGTAAATTCCGTATCTGTGTTGTAAAATACAAGTGGGGTTTTAACCAAGTTTTTTAATTCCCCTCAAGCATATTTTTATTTATTTTTTGAGTAGTCAAGATGGCTGATAGAAGTCGCCAATTAACCGACTGTCTTTCGCTTAAGTTGTAACCACAGGCACAACAACAAGGAAACGTCAGATAGACAACCCTTGGAGCGTATCATTCGTGTGGTACTTTTGAAACGACGGCTTGAACTTTCTATCGCACAAACTCCGCAACCTCCTCAATGTAATTAAGCTCAAAAACGGGTCAAGCACCGGTCAAGGGTGATCTCCGGATAGATTCATTTTCCCTCAACTCCCGTTCCAACCGCATTCATCCTCACGTTTAATTAATCAAATTAGTTTTCATCCTCATCTCACCTAATTTTCCAGCTGAAAGCATTCTACGTGGACCTTTTGGTGCCCCTAGAAACTAATCTCGAGAAGGACACCAAAGTAGTCCAGGTAAGAAAACGTCTTGAAGAATTTTTTATGATGAATAAATAATTGGATGAAAATACTTCACAATGAAATTCTCGTGTACTTTCAGAGCGAACAGAAAAAGTTTCTCCAGCAGCATAAAACCCGATCAGAGACTTACAGCAAAGCAGCCGCGACAATGAAGAAGCAGCGGAAAAAATCACGCGGAGCGAGTAAGAGTGATCTCGCCCGGGATAAGGAGCTCAAAAACATGCAAATACTTGAGGAGGAAAAATCTAAATTAGATGCCTTTTGCGAACAGAGCCTGAAGAACGTGAGTATTTATTATGTATGATGAATGAGAATGAACTCAAGCATTTGCCTCGTGCACATTGAATAAACACGAGAGGGAATATTTCTAGGCAATGACTCAGGAGCGCAGAAGATATGGTTTCGTTTTGGAGCGGCAGTGTTCATTGGCAAAACATTACGCTAGTTTCCACGAAGTTGCACTGGCAGCTCTACATCCATCTGTAGATGAGTGGCGTGAAGTAGCGAATACCCGTGAATATTTGCCTCAATCAGTCGAGGATATGTTTGCCTCACGACTTCGAGTAAATACAACTTCGAATTAATTAATTTTTTCATTTCACCAGTCAAATTTGCATTACTATTTAAACTCGCTTGTTTATGCATCCAGCAAGTTTCATTCTGGCCAGAAGACGAGGAGAATGGAGGGTCACAGCTGACCATGAGTTCACAGTTGCGTAAAACAAGGAGTATGGACAGTTCTTGTCTAGAGCTACGCCTTGGAGCCCCACCAAGTCACCCACCTTCTATTCATCCCAATGATGGCTCACATATATCTTCGGCCCTATCAAGAGCAAGGTCCGAGGCAAATCTCCATGCCTCCAATCTTTCACTAGGACCAGGTGATTAATCCCCACTATAGGTCATCGTTAACATCATCCTTTGTGATTCTACAACCACTCACTGCATAACACCACAAAAGCATTTACACCATTATCATAAATTGCACCATAAAGTGCACCAACATATGCAATCACTTATCTTCACTGGACCACCTTCATTCTAGCATTTGTAAAAAAATAAAGCATTCAAAAAATTGCGGTTAGATTATTCTTCGTGGATTCATCACTCATGATGGATTGTAAAATATGCTGCTGTTGTATCTCACAATTTCAAAACCTTTCGCCATATCGGATGCATTCATTCTGTACCCCTTTCGTATCGTGATTGAATAGCACTGAATTGTGAATTGAGTGGATTGATATTGTTGGCTTTTGATGCATTCATTGGGATAGTCAAGAATCCCACTTTTGTCATAAAGAGTAATAACTGGACATTGGGAATTGACTTTTTTTGCTTTCTCCCTTCGTATTGAACGTGGTGTTTTGTGATTCGAGTAGTTAATTAAAGACACTTGGGTGAAAAAATGAAATGCAAAATAACGGTTATGTGTCGATGCAGATGTCCCAGAAACTCCACCCAGACCGAGATCCATGGCACCAGCATCTCGTAACAGTGTTGTTGGTACTAGTGGTGGTACTAGTGGAACTGGTAATTCTTCTGGGGTATGGGGTGAAGCTTCGCTTGCTCGTGCACTTTTCGCTTATCTGAGCTCTGGAGAGAATCAACTGAGCTTTCTCGAGGGTGATCTTATCGCACTTATGGGTGAGTCAAGAATTTGTTTTCGGGCTATCACCATCTTTCGGTCATTATCAAGACAAAGGGTATCTGGAGTATTTTTTATTGGGGATATATCGACATTTGGAGCGATAAATTTCATCGGTCACTGGTGATAAGGGAAAATAAGGGATTCGGGTGGAATTGATTGAATGTTTTACATCTTACAAGAAAAAATCAATACTTATTGAGTAAATTTGATTGTTGATATTAATTTGTTTGAGTTTTTCATTGATATATGTTTTACGTTGATAAAAAAAAATTAATTCTTCTAGATCTTTTAGTAGTTATTGGGAGAAAAGGGGTAGTACAAATCCAAGGGAGTTCTCAATTTTCCAGCAGCAAGGAGACCAGAATCTTCAAAGTTACTTGAATATTCAATCAAAACATGAATATTCATCACTACATTTCAGTGCATTTTCAATGAATTAAAAATACTAGGTTCTGATACGAGCCCGTAATTATCATAACATAATTAAACTAGAATTCAAATCTTCATTGGTTTACTATCGTGTATTTCGTCACTAGGCCGTTAGGAACTTTTCTGGCGATTGTGATTTCCTCGGCTTCGCCTCGAACTGTAAACACAATCGTCCGAAGAGTTATCTTCGGCCCAGTGACGAACGATATTTTTTGTCATTCTGTCCGTAGGCAGGGTTATACGACTGCACATCGGTCTCGAAGCATTATCTCACGGATTGAGTGATAAAAATGAAATGATAGATTTACAATGAAAATATTTGAATCGCCATTAAAATTTTTATGAATGCCTTACGCAGCGAAACTAATATAAATTCCTCGAAACGTTGCTCTTGCAGGAGATCGTCAGAAAGGCTGGCAATTCGGTGAGAATCTCCGCACCCAGGGTTCCGGGTGGTTTCCGCTGGCTTATACTGAAATTATAATAGACGATAGTTTAGGGTAAGTTTAACCGAAACCCACGGATTACATAACGACACTTTATACACTTGAATTGATCCGATGATTACCATCGATTGGGCTATCACAGAGAGGACGACTGAGTTAGAGTTTTGCATTGACTGATACGAAGAGGTGTAAAATGAGGATGAGGTAGATACTGAATGGAGAATTTATCCTGCTCCACGCGTACCTCAATGACGACAAGGTTAATTTGCTCGGACACTTCGAGAGGTACGAGAGGATGGGGTATAATATCCTCGCAAATCCTCGGGTACAGTATCGCTTCGGTCGATCGACTCAGGCAACTCGATACATGTTACATCGCAATCTCGTGGCCCACGATATACGATGTTACTCGATTACTCCATTTCCCCTTTCCCTTTCTCATTCTCATTCCCCCATAAACGTAAAGTGGCGTTGGCTATCCAGGATTCTTTAAGAATATAGAGAGAATGAGAGGCAGTGGGATATCCTGATCACGTGACTGATCCTTCTATTCAACTCTTTTGTTGAAAGCTTTGAAAGAATATATTCCCTTTAACTCACAAGATTTTGCCTATAAAGTTTAAGAGGTTTAAAAGTTTTGCCTCGTTGAATCTTACCGGGAAGATGTTCAATATACGGAGATTTTATTTTCCTCCTGGTATCGAGAGAATTTCAATGCTGTGGGGTATTTTTACAGGTCACCAAACCATGCCGCGAACAATGGGCGTTCACCAGAGCCGAGGGCTATGCCTCCTTGCAAACCACCCCCATCGAGACCACCGCCCAGTATTGATGAGCTCAACACCGTTGGTAACGGTAATGTGAGCAACAATAACAACCTTGGTGGGGGTAACAATAATACACCGACTAATGTACCCAAAAGCCACAGCGCGTACAACGTTGGTACTCCCACGGGACGACAGCCAAAATCGGTGAGATGTTATTCATAATTTCATTCGCTTGGGGATTATCGAGCGTGGGGCGTGCAATATAAATATTTTATGATACCGGTTGGAGTGAAAAATCCAAGTTTTTCCCTCTGACGCAAAATAAAGTTTTATCGACTCGGGTGGAATCTCTTGAGGATTCAAGCTTTTTGCTACTTCTGAGATAACAATTTTACTTCAGCTTCTTTAAAAAATGGGACAATCGATTTTATTAGTTTCAATAACAGAAGACTAGCTACCCGGCTTGAAATAACTTATCAATCGCCAAAAATTTGATGAGCGCAATTGTCTGGTAGGAACACCAGGCTAACCATGTTATTGCAATTTGATTTACTTTTATTGTTTCACTAAAATACCTGAATATTTGTTCTCGTTAGATCCGTCCATCGGGAACACTGCCTTCTCTCCTAGCAGGGGGTCGAAGAGTTCAGCCTCCGGTACCACCGATTCCTCCTCCTCAAGCTTTCACTTCTCTTCACAGCAGCAACGACAGTGGTTTCTCCAACGAACCGCCAGTCCAACCGGACATTGACTACAGCGATGACGAAGCAATGAGGTAATATTAATACGCATTTCCCGTAGACAGACACCTCAGTTTTACATTCGAGCTTTGATCTCGGCTGCCGGACTATTCCTCGTGCTACACTCCTATCCCTGTTCTTGATCGTCGTTCCTCTAGCTTGAATCGAGGCTTTGTACATGCACTAATCTTCGCTGATGGCCGATCATCGTTTGGAACTAGCTAGATGCCTGTCGTAGAATTGAAGTAGAAAATTCTCCTTGGCAACGCTCCCATCCAATATGTGAATCCTCGATTCTCCCGTGGAACTCAGGCCAAACTCACTCGGCCAATTTGATATTAAGTACAAATAAAAAAAAAACCACTTTAAAAGCAACCCAGAAAATATTCTTGGCTCTCACAATCGCCAATTTCATAATCCCAGCTAATTTATGATCCTTTTTACTCACTGTACGAATGAAAAATATCAAGGGTATATTTATCTCAGATTCTCTCAAATGTAAAGCAAAAAAATTAAAAACTAGAAACTTTCTAATGTGGGAATTATCCGAATGCCGAGGGCGAGACTTTTTGCAACCCTCCAACAGTCCCTCCTCCTGGATTACATTTTTTTTTTCATACTTCTCTGGTATTCTTTGTAGATTCCGCATGCGATACCGTGGTCGATGGAATTAAACGCGTGCCGGTGGTGGCCCTTCTCTTACCCCCTATCTTGCGAGTGTCCTTCCGCATGGCTGGTGTACTATTTACCCCTATCTTTTTACCACAGTCATCCATGTAGTTCACATATTATCATTCTCTAATTTTTTTTTACGCCCCAATTTTTTTCTCCATTTTTCATTCACATTTATTTAAACTTCGTTCTCTCATCCCACCACGAATTCTCGGCGAAACGAAAAACACGTGTTAAACAAAAAAACCCAGACAAAGACGTAGAAAAACTCGTGGGGATCGTCTGGAAGCAGCGGAGAGGGTACTAAAGCAACAGCAGGCGAATCAGACACCTCAGCAGAGAGATGTAGACGAGAAGGACAAGGATTGGGAGAATGATTCCTGGAAGACAATCCCTCGGGACGAGAACAGCTGGAATATGTACAGAAACAGTATGGACATGTGGTCAGAATCTAAGCATCCGAATAGGAATAAAGGGAGTGATCTCGAGGGAAGGTATACAGCTGTGAATGGTAGACGACGGGTCGATACTCATGATCAAATACGTAGCTCCGACACCGAGTTACGTGATAAACGAGAGAGAAAGGGTGAATCAAGTAGAAAGTCAGATTACGAAGAGTCGCGTGGAAGACAGCAAATTGAGCGTAATTGTAGATACACAAATGGTGATGAACTTCCGAGGGAGTTAAGCCACAGATCCCGCGAGGATAGACGGGAGAATGCCAAGCGTCAACGAGACATCGAGGAATCCGAAGATGAACGTGAGATCAATAACGAGGAGGAGAGCTACGAAATAAACGATTACCCTGATAAATTCAGCAGTCAGAAATACTACGAGAATCACGAGACTAGCCATAATAACGAGCGTTACCAAAATGAAGAGAGAGAACGCGAGGAGGACAAGTACGAAAATGATAAGAGTGAATCAATTTCATCAGCCTCTGATTCGGAGGACGCAAGCACCATCACCATTCCAGAAACTGGACGAAAAGTCGAGCACATAGCTCAGAAGCTTGAGCAAACAGCCCAGAAGTATGCTCGTGAGCACAGTCCACCCAAGTTTGTAGAAAGACGTCGAGAGGACTACACTAAGAGTTTGGATCGAGAGGGAGAGCCACCGAGTTATGAAAAGTACGAGCGTGACACGAGAGCTGGCCAGTCACGAGAGAGATCTGAGAGGGAGAGATATCCAGAGAGGAACCATCAGACCTATGAGCGGGAGAGAACATTTGAAAAGAATCCAGATCGTAAGAGAAATATCGAGAGAAACTCAAACCGTAGATTTGAGCGGCCACGACCGCCATTCGAGGATGCACCAGAGCGGCCACGTGATAAACCATACAGAGAACGTCGTTATTCGGAAAAGGAGGAAATTTATGGTGAAACGGGACGTTTTTCTCGTACCCCAGGTACACTCGAGAAAGACCGTGGGTATGAGTCAAATTTCGAAACGAAACTCGAACGCTCCAAGGCCATTGAGAAAGTTCAAGTAGGCTATCGGAGAAATGAATCGTCTCAGAACCGCAAAAGAGACCCGAGTGATACGAGAAGTCCCGAGTGCAATGACACTAATAATAATACACTGAAGAATGATAGAAAAAATTTGCCACGGCAGAGTACAGCGCTGGGGCACCTGGTGCAGACAGGTCGTGCATTCGATGTTGATATGAAGAGTCCAAAAGTGGTGAAGAGGACTAAATCATTCTGGAGATTCAGAAGAGACTCGGAAGTGCTCGAGGGGATGGCTCTGTGGCAGCATCGCTCTCTGGTGGACATCCCGAAAATGGTGAAGCGTGAGGTCAAGGATCACAAGGTCAAGGATGATTCTGAAATATCCCGGAAATTATCACCCGATAATCACTCAGGATCGGGCAGAAGCATCGGTAAGGACTCGCGTAGCAGTGATAACACACTCACGAATGATTGCAGTGAAACGCGTCATCACGAACGAGAGGAGCCGAAACCAGCGGAACGCAGCCTAGTTCCAGATAAATCCGATTACTTCGATGACTTTCCGACCCCTGCTGAACGGCCAAAAGCTGTTGAAAGATCAGAATACAGAGTTCAAAGAGAGGAGAGATCCTATTTCGTTGGAAATGTGTCGAGAAAAGCAATTCTTGAGAAAGAACGTAAACGCAGTCTTGAAGCAAAGCGCAATATGGTTGTTGCAGAATTGAAGGAGAACAACGACGCGAAAAAAGGTGAACGCAGAATCAATTCTTATGGAGATGATGATGATGGACTAATTCAGAATTTCTCGGAAACTGAAGCGTCTGATGAAGAGTCAACTTACAGTTGTATTGTTGTGAAGGAGCAGCAGGAGAAAACCCTCCTACCAAGAACGAAATTGCGAAGGGACAGTGACAGAGAGGGTGAGAAAAACACTTGTGGTCCTTGGTACGATCTCTGGGGTGTTGACGCATCTGTCAATAATAAGAAGAAAAAGAAATAAGCACTCAATCTTATTTTATCACCCTTGTACTTAAGTTTATTGCGCATTCCATTTGTTTTTATCAATAAGTTTTTTTTTCTTATTAGTCATTATTATTCATATGGATTTTGTACTTCTGGTATCATATATTCCCTTTGTTATGTGCGATATTAGTGTCGTTTTGTACTAGAGCACTTTTGTCTCTGTTAGTTTTGTAGACATTGTCTAATAATGGCCTCGTGTGCATCCTTTCATTAACTGATAAGTCTCTTGCAGAAGTAACAATGCATTTGCTACGGTTAAACTGAGGAAAACAAAGACCAACGATCGATCAGCCCCAGCACTGTGATATCACAGTTTATTAATGGAATTGAGGAGTGCTGATGACACTGACACCAATGTCTCGGATGTGAGACAGATGGAGGGTCAGTTGATATCTGCTGATTGTGGCAATGAAGTGGAATATTTTTTTTTCCAGGCATGACGTGAATATCCGTCCAGGATTATTTTCGTGAGAAATTTTTTTTACACTCATTCGCCTGGGGGGATCGTCATCGTTCCCATGCTAAGCCTGAATGTATGTCTTGTACCAGGTTCTTTGTGGCATCGTTATTCAGTCGTTTCGTTTTCCCACTGTTCCTGCACTCATACCCCCCATCGCCCCCTTACCCGTCAAAAAAAAAAACCAAGGAAGAAAAGAACCTTACTATATTTCAGGGACTTTTACCACTTGGCTTCCAACCAAGATGAAATTTTATTAGCATTCCCAGAATATATTTTTTTTCTTCCTGCGATATGGGCTTTCATCCAAGAATAAAGAATCTCAAAAAATCTGTCCAGCTTGGAAATCAATATTTTTTATACTTTATATTAATTTTTAACGAACATTACTTTCATGTGAAATATATCATGCTGGTCCACAGTAAATTTCCTCACGTCAACATGAAAGTTTTTATTCGGATATCGTAAAAAAAGATCTTCATGTGTTGAATGCCTTGGGGGGAGGTGCAGTATGGAATTCCAACTTATACGAAAACAAACTGGCACTTCATTTTTTTTCCGCTTTTATACCTTTTCAGATTTTTTTCCGAGCCTCGTAAAATCATTTACCATCTTGGTTGGTACGCCCTCAATTTCTAAATAACATTAAAATACAATTATCATTGTTGCTCTATCGAATCAAGACCAGGAGAGAATTAAAGATGAAGGAGACTTCAAGGGAGTAACTTGCACACGTTTGGCCATTAAAATTTAAACTTTGTTATACAAAGTTTTTATGTGCTCAGTACATACCCATGAAAAGCGTACGTACTTGTTTTTTATTATGTTGTAGGTGCTAAGAACACGTTCTGACATTATCGCAAATTTACCTCTATAGTTAACTCCATAAAATAAAGAGAGACGGCAATATTACAGGAGATCCCAAGAAAAATGGTTTAGGGCAATGGTTATAACCGCTATACGAATATATCATTTAATTCCTTCACCTCTTTCTTGTTCTTTTCCTAATCGTCTAGCTAAATGCCACGTATACGGTTTCCAATCATTGAATCAGATCGGCAGAAGAACAACAAAACTATTATTAAATGTTAATCTAAGCACGTTGCACTTGGTGAGGGCGGGCTTGATGCAGGTAGATTTCTGAAAATATGGAAAAACGAAAAGAAAGCAAAACTATGCCAATTCTCGCTAGTGAGAATCTAAGTAATAAGTAAATAAATAAATTTCTCTCCCATCCTTCAAGTCCGCTCGGGTAAGTTACGTACTAAGGGATAAACGAAAAATCATAACGAAAAAAATTGAATTAAAAATCATGTATACATCCATTATTATATTATTGTTATTATATTAACATCTTTGTGCAAGAACTGTGTCGTTTATTGATCCTTCCCTTACCATTAGATATACCTTTTTTGAAATTGAAAGAACTCAAGTGGGAACTCAATAAAAATGAAATTTCATGGGATTGTATTAAATTTCCTATCTATTGATTACATGGAGAGCTATTCACTTTCTTTGATTCTGTAAAATTTTTCTTGTCCACTTTTCTCTCTGAAATTAGACACAGAATACGTAATTTTTATTGAATATTTCTCACCGTGCAATAGTTTGTGATCCAACACTTGATAAAATGAAAATTCCGTTCGATGTGATCTATTTACATTGACGACGCAGCAGACTAGCGAATTTCCATCGAAACTGTAAGTAATTTGTTTGGTATTAACCTAATGAACCAGCCCTTGTGAAATGATCGACTCGGGTTGACTCACGCGGGAATACAAATCCACGAAATATTGTCTGGTTGAGCGCACGAAATGCCAATTGAGGTTGTGCCCGAGAGAGACAGACGATGTTTGGTTGTGGTACAGTAGAAATCGCGGGTTGTTCGTGCCCAAAAAGGGATGGGAGTAAAATTAGCAATGGGGGTGGACACTGGCTAGCGTGATAGGAAAGTTGCAGTGGTGAGGTGAAAATGGTCAGGAATATACAGCAGAGGGAGTAACGCGCCGAACGATTAAACATGGCACAGTGTATATTTCGCTTTTGCATCAAGGAATCAGTAAATAGGCGCGAAATTTCCACTACCGTGGACTCGTCTCTTCTCCGGAGGGAACATTGGGAGGAGGTAGCCGTAACCCGTTGATTTGAGCATTTGTTGAATTGCCCTTTAAAAACCAATTATCAAATACATGACTTGAGCGCTCGCTAACGATTTTCAATGTGCAAACATCGATGATGCTTGGCAAGTAAACAGTGAGCCATTCAATTATATTGTGAAATTTCAATGGGAGCTGTCTGCATGTCATGCACACGCAGACTGATTGATTTTTGAAAATTCTACGCGACTAATGGAGATTCAGAGGGGCGAGCTTTATGCCTCCAAACATAACTGATGCTGAAGTCCACATAGAATTCTCCTGTTCATCATTGATCTATATTTAATATCATTCCCAATCCCTTGATGCAGTAGTATTTATAATTTTTCTTAGACTACCAAGAATTCCGGCAGTTCAGTCAGTGAATGTGGTTAACTTAAATTCAGTCAGCAATTTGTTTGCAATTCGCTGGAAAGTTCAATCCAACTGTTACTCTATTTATGTTGGTTTTTTTTTTCTATTTTAATTTCTACCAATATCATTGGTAATATGCTATCTATGTTATATGACGAATTCATCGTCACATATCGTCTCATTTGGAAGCAAAAAGTAATGAGGGTTTATCAATTGGTTTGGCAATTGATCTGGAATAAAGTGAAATGTGGAAAGATCTTTATTTTACGTGGGTAATCGAGCCTTATCGCTAGAGTCATTGCAATGGGTCGTAATAATCGCGAGGGGGGTCCTGATTTTATGGGCATCCAAGCACCTCGTTTCATTGGCTGGAAGGAGAGTAAGAGAATTCCTGCAAAGTTGCACGAACCTACACCTACAGTCACCACTGGTACGTTTAATATTTCAGGATATTACTGGGTACGCAGATTACTCGAGGGGCCATGCAGGATGATAGGGAGGAGTGTATATATGGTGTGAGTGCGCTAGACGAACACCAACGTGTTTTCAGGGGTTTGGCTACCTCTCGAGTGCCAATTGTCGATAAAGCCAAATTACCGACATTAATAATCAAACGTGAATAGCTCAAGGGAAATTTCACCCATCAATTGTTGGGCAAGTGAAGTACAAACACATATGAAATATAAAGTTCAATAAATAAATTATTAGTTTATACAGCATGCACCGTCTTTTCGATTTTTTTGTTTAGAGAAACTTATTCATTTACCAAGTGCAGAATTACCTCGAGTGCAAAAAACCACTGGTATCATGAGGCACTTCATTAGTTTAATTAATTCTCACGAAAGTACTTACAACTGCAATCCTTGGGAAGGCTGAGGTCGGAGGGGGCTTCAGTGAAACTCACTCAATGCACACCGAAGGGGATTTTTACAGCGTCTGTCGTATTGCCCTTTCACCTTTCAACCCCCTTCATTCCATTAGAGATATTGAAGTTATACCTTGCCCTCTGATGACCACTCGCTGCTGATGCAACCGATTCCTGATTCCAAACGAAAAATAGAGGGCTTTCGTTTAATCAATAGAGTTTTACGACAACCACTATTAATTTTTATTCACTGGCCAGTGTTCCTCAAATATTATTACGATTCCTTAGCTCATCATTGTTTTTTCTTTGTTGAATTTTGAGTTTATAAGGTTCAGAATTCTAAAACGATTGGACTGGAGAGAGATTCAGCTAATGGTTTAAAATGAGTATCTCTAGAAATTCACATACTTCATTCCACCATGGTAATACAACTTTTTACAGAGAAGAACTTAACAATATTACAATGTTTGTAGAATCGTTATAATTATTTCTCCCGGAGGACATCTTAGGCTTTATTTAAATGTATTACCTAAAAGGTTGAATATACATTTTCATACGGGTTCCTGACGTTAATTATCCCGTGATCATTTTGCCAGTGAAAATTTCCTAGTGTATCGGCAAAATGGAAAAAAATTCATTTATACCTAGACTAGCGATCGAAATTATAAACACATGTTTTCCATAATTCTCTGTCTGTGTATTGGTTGACAAACGGGACGGTAT